CAGATAGATGGATAGAGAGATAATCTGAGCAGGAGCATAATTCACCATATCTCATGGATTTGTGGGTAACAGTTTTTAAATTATTTCTGTTCTTCTGAACTTGTGTAGAAATCAAGAGATGGCATTCAGACAGTGTCTTGTCAAAAAATAGCAAGGTGCCCTGGTGAAAAACACCACCGCCTCATGTGACTGTAGAATATGTCAAATGATGGATTAAGAAAACAGTCAGGTGTTCCCCTGGGTTAACTACATTTTATCATTTTGACTTGAAATCCAGAGATTTAAGCATAGGGAGTACACAGTCCACCCCCTTTAGCAGGTTTGGTGCCAAAAAATCCAATCTGTCTTCTGAGAGATGAAACCATCTAAAAGCACTTAAAAGCTCTTAGGGATCAAATTTTGTTTTGTTTTTAAAGTAAGACTGGTACAAGTGTTATTTTTTTGTTGTTAAATGGATAGCATTCTGACCTATAATTACAAGCTATTAATTCCCCATTCCTTCTCACATATGTCTCTTCCCTAAAACAACACAAACCACTATGCAGAATCTTTCAAGTATATTACTGCAGTCATCACCTGAGAAATGCCACCCTTGCCACATGGGGCAAGAACATGCCACAGGTCATTTTGATTTCAGGATGCTTATTTAAACACACAATGAACTTCTGTCTCGAGTTTTGATTTGTTCCTGAGAGAGAGTCAAATGCACTTTCCTGAAAACTCTCTAATTTACAAGACCATTTATCAAACAACTACTAAGGGAACAGCTTTATTTCTTCCTTTCTAGCCTATGGGACCCTGGCTGGGAGGTTCAGCCCTTTCAGAAAGGCAGAGATGGCATTCTGAACAAATTTCCAGCTAACACAGAACTGAGAGGAATAGCTAATGAAACGAATGAGAGTCAGGATTCAGAAGTGAGCCATACCCAGTAAGGTGAATTTTAATAGAGATATGTAAAGTTCTGACTTGGGTTCCAAAATTCACCTCAAAAGTACAAAACGGATGAGGCAATGGCTGCAGGGCAGCACGTATCTGAGAGGCAATGTGATCCAGAGGGAAAGCACGAGCTCTGGAGTCTGGGACCTGGGATCAAATCCTACATTTGATACTTAATAGGTAGTTTTGAGCAAGTCGTTCAACTTCTCTGAGTCTCAGTTTCCCTCATCAGTAAAATACAGGGGTTAGATCAGATGGCATTCCAGTTCTAGATCTATGATTAGACATGTCAGATAGAGCTGGGGGTTTCAGAGGGCCGAAAACTGGCTGGGATATAGAAAAGCCCGGAAGACAAGTGCCGTCTCAGACTACAAAGCATCTAGGAAAAAGAAAGGGATAGTCCTACCGGCCTCTGTCTTGCCCAGGGGCACCAAATGGGGAACATTGGCTCAGGGCCTTCCATTTTAGACGGGGCAATGAAATGTGGGAGACAATCCACTAGAGGGTAAAAAGAATGATGAAGGGCCTCCAACTTATACCAAAACAGGGTCAATTAGAGGAACCGAAAGACATGATAGTGTCTTCAAGGAAGGGCTGTCAGGTAGAAGACTAATTAGAATTATTGTTAAAATTGCTTGTTTCCAGGACATAAGGAACTAATTCAAATGCATAAGACTAAGAGCCATTCACAACTGATAAATGGTCAAAGGATGTGAGCAGTTTGCTAAGGAAGAAATCCAAGCTATCAATAGTCATATAAAAAAAATGCTCCGACTCACTAATAATTAGAGAAAGGCAAATTAAGATAACTCTAAGGTTCTATCTCATACCCATCAGATTGGCAAAGTTGACAAAAAGGGAAAATAACAAATGCTGGAGGGGCTGCAGGAAAACAGGCACATTAATGCAGTGTTGATGGAGCTCTGAACTTGTCTTAACTGTTCTGGAAAGCAATCTAGAATTATGCCCCCAAAGTTACTAAACTGCATATTCTGGCTAGTGATACCACTCGTGGCTCTATCCCCCCCAAAAAACAAAGAAAGAGGTAAAGGACCCATATGTACAAAAATAGTTACAGGAGCTCTTTTTGCAGTAGCAAAGAAGTGGAAATTGAGGGGATGGCCATCCAGTTGGGAATGGCTGAACAAATTATTGCATGAGTATAATGTAATACTACTTAACTATAAGAAATGACAAAGGGCATGTTTTCAGAGAAGCCCAGGAAGACTTGTATGAACTGATGTAGAGTGAAATGAGCACAACCAAGAGAACAGTTTATACATTAAGAACAATACTGTAAAAAGAGAGTAACTGTGAAAGTCTTAGAAACTCTGATCCCTGCAATGACCAAGCACAACTCCAGAGGATTTCTGCTGAAACATGCTACTCACTGACTCAAAGTGTAGAATGAAACACAGTTCTTGGACTTGGTCAATGAGGAAATTTGTTGTGCTTGATGACACATATCTGTTACAAGGGCACTGTTTTTCATTTTTCTTTTAAATAATGGGAAGAAAGAGAAAGAAAATAGTGTTAATTAAAAAAATATGATTTAATCATTTAAAAAATTAGAATTACTTGGCCCCAGAGAATAGAACTAAGAGAAATGGGTAGAACCTGAAAAGATGGAAATACAGTCCTCTTCTAATTTTTTTAAGGTGTGACCTTTAATATTCAGTTTGTATAACTATTCAGAGTTCATTGTGGCATGTGGTGTAAAGTACTAATCTAAAGCTAATTCCTACCAAGGTGCTTTCCAGTTTTCCTAGCAGTTGCTGTCAAATGGGGAGTTCTTCCCCAAGCAATTTATGATCTCTACTACGCTGAACGCTGGCTTATTGAATTACTTGCTTTGGATTTTTCCTTATCTACCCTGTGCCCTTGCTTTGCTCCTTTTTTTACCCAATACTAAATAGTTCTGATGATTTTGGCTTGACAGTGTAATCTGAGTTTTAAAAGGGGGATTCCCCTTCATTCTTACTTTTTAAAAAATTTCCCTTGAGATCTTAGACCTTTTTCTGCCAACAAATGAACTGTGATTAATTTCTCTAGCACAATAAAGTATCCCATGAGTAGAGTGATATAACACTGTATCAGTAAATTAATTTAGGTAGCATAAATGTTACACTGTATAGAGTTATTTGCTTACTGTCTCCCCAATTAAATTATGAGCTCCTTGAGGGCAGGGACTGTCTTTTACCTCTTTTGGTATCCCTGGCACTTAGTACAGTGCCTGGTACACAGTAGGTGCTCAATAAATGTTTACTGACTGAGCATTCTAATTTTTATTATGCTAGCACAGCCCAGCCACGAGCACCAAACAGTCAGCCCTCAGTTATGTTACGTTAACAAAAGTTCCATAAATCATTTTACTTCGTTTAATAATTGTCTCTATACAGGTCGTGAGTGTGTATTGGCAGGTTAACATGCAGGTATGCATTTTGGAATTATCATGAATGGAACTTCTTTTGTAATTATTTCATCCTGGATTCTGTTATTGCCCTATAGAAATGCTACTGGTCTTTGTGTATATGTTTCAATCCTGCCAACTTTAATGAAGCGATTGTCTCCACTACTTTCTTTAGGATTCCCTGATATCATTGTCATCAGCAAATACTGATAATTTTGTCTCCTCTTTTGCCTTTTTCATGCCTTCCATATTTTTCTCTACAAAAACCAACACAGGAACATAAATTTAGAGCTTCGTGAAAGGGGTCCCAGAGGCCACTGAATCTAACTCTCTCCTTTTAGAGATGAGGAAACTGAAACAAGACAGGTGAAATGATCTGCCCAGGGCCACACAGTTAAGGCAGAATTGGAACCCAGCTCTTTTGGACTCCAAATAGTGCCCTATCGACTACACCGGTGGAGTCAAACTCAAATGGAAATGGGGCTGCTAACTGCTACACAAGGATCTATGCAGGCAGCATAGTGACTCAGTTTTAAAATGTTATGTTACCTATGTTTTATTGGATTTTTATTTATTTTGTTAAATTTCTCCCAATTACATTTTAATCTGGTTCGAGGGAATTTGACACCCCTGCCCTCTCTGCTTCTCAATCTTAATGCTATCTCTAGCATTTCTAGAACTAAATCAAATAATATCAGGGAAAGGAACTAGCCTTATTTTAATCCTGTATTTATGGGAGTTTCTAGGGTTTCTCCGCTGCATGTAATACTAGCCTTCAGTTTTAAATACATACTTTTTTTTAATCATATTACAAAGTGGCCCTACGGTTTATAGGTTCTCCACCAAAAGTTAATGTTGTCGGGGCAGCTAGGTGGCACAATGGATAGAGCACCAGCCCTGAAGTCAGGAGGACCTGAGTTCAAATCCGGCCTCAGACCAAACACTCGACACATACTAGCTGTGTGACCTTGGGCAAGTCACTTAACCCCGATTGCCTCACTAAAAAAACAAAAAACAAAAAAAAAGTTAATGTTGTAAAAGAATCATAAGTTTTGAATATTGTTTCTAATTGAATTATCTCTGTTAATTGGTTTTCTAAAGCTGAACCATCCTTGCATCCCTGGTATAAATCCAACTTGATCATTACAAACAATTTTTTGGATAAACTGCGTTAGTATTTTTGCCAGTGTTTTATCTAAAAATTTTTAATTGACATTCATTAAATCCATCCCTCATTTCCCTCAAACATCTCCCACTTGGATATCCCATAGGCATGTCAAACTCAACATGTCCAAAACACTTCTCCAGCCTTCCCAGTTTCTACTGAGGATGCCACCATCCTTCTACCACCCTGGAGTCATCCTTGACCCTCTCCTCCACACTCAATATTTGCTCAGTTGCCAACACAAAATGGCAGTAGAAAAAGAACTCATTCTGGAATCCAAGAACCTGGCTTCAAATCCCACCTGTATGACCTTGGATAAATCAATTCACCTGCCCAGGCCTCAGTTCCCTCATCTGTAAAACAAGCAGTCTCTGAGGCGCCTTCCACCTCAAGACTGAAGACCTTAGATAGACCTCCTCTACGTGTCTGACACCAGTCACTTCTAGACACCTCAACTCTAACTCGGGCTCCCATAACTCTTGACTGATTCATTAATAAGTGCTTACAGAATTGAACTGAGGCTTGATCTAAGGAAAAACTGAAAAATTAGAGGTACTCAGAACTGGAACGGAGCCCAAGCAAGGGAGCTAGGGAACTGTCCTTCAGAGGAAGTCTTTGAGCAAATGCTGGATGGCCGGGTGGGAGATCCTTTTGGATTTCAGTACGGCAGGCCACCAAAGGGACCTGCGACTGTGTCCTTTCAACAGGAGGAAAGGATCAATAGTATGGGCTGCTAAAACCACTCAGCTCTCTAGTATCTCATGAGCTAACCCATCTATTCTTTAGGTGACCTAGACATGAGGCATTGTGGGCAGATGTTCTGCCTTCTCCAAATTCTTACCCAACATTCCTCCTTCCCGGGCAATTTGTCTTCAGTTGGTGGGTCAGGGGTCAGGCTAAATCAGCAGTCTATAAAACACCAAAACCTTTGACTTTCCTCACAAAGACAACAATCTCAACCAACAAAGAAGATACTAGAAGATGTGCAAAGCCTTTTCTGAAAAGAAAGTCTTCCCACTAACTTACTCAAGCCTGGGTTGACAATTTAAGAATTCTCAAACTTATCAACTATAAAAAATCCCTTAACTATTTCTTCCTTCCCAACTTAATCTGAAGTAAAAACCAACACAGTCTAGGATAGATGCCTGAAGTTCTTTTCACTCTCCAAAAGTGAATGGGGGTGGAGATGCAGCGAGGAGGGCCTGAGGCAGTGCAATGGAGCAGCCTAGTTAGTACAGTAAGCACAGGTACAGAGAGACCCCCTTCTCTCAGCCAAGGACCAGCCCCCTCAAGGCAGCAGCCCTCACCAGGATGTCCCACCCCCAGAAAAGCCCCTTCACTCAAATGCTCTACCTAACCCCTCCTCCAAAGCTGACAAACCAACTGCCCCCAAACTCTTCGCACTAAGCCTTTTTGCAGTCCTATAAACCAACATGGAAGCTTCCAACAAGGAAGCCCTGAGTTCCCATCCCCTGACAAATCTAGGGCAGCCTGACTTCTGAAAGTCCTGAACTGCCAACCCAAGCCAGAGGCCTTGACCCTGCCTCAGCCCTCCTGGAACCCCTGAGCCCCCCACTCCAGGCAGCTTTCTGACGAGCTAACCTGGCCTTGTCCTCATCACATCCTCACACCACCCAATCTGGAAGCCTGGGACCCCTGGGCACCTGAGCCAGGATGGCGGCCGGCCCAACCTGGAGGCCCTGAGTTCCCCCTCATAGGGAGGTAAAGGGGGGGAGACTCTTTTAGGACCCCAACCATTCCCAGGCCATTCTCTGCCGGCCCTGCCTCAAAGCTCCCTCCCACACAACTTATTTTGCAGACAGCTCAGAGGACACAACCTGGAGGCCCAGAGGGACCCCTCTCCCCAACAATGCTCTGACAGCTCCCCCACCCCCTGAAAAGAAGCCCAGCCTCAAACCCAGGCTCCTCTCCCCAAGGCAATTTAAAGTTTGATTCCCGAAACAACCCTGGAGGTAGAGGCTATTACTGTCCCCATTCCACAGATGAGGAAACTGAAGTTAAGTGACTCGCCCAGGGTCAGACACCTAGGAAGTGTCTTCCTGACTCCAGGCCCAGCGCTCTATCCACTACACCACCCAGCCTAGGGCCTCTTCCCTCCTGCCCCTCTCCTTTGGTCTCCTATGACCCAGAGCCCCCTACCCTCCCCCACCCCAAAGGGCGGCTCCTCTATCCCCTTTCCCCGTCCCCATCCCAGGGGCAGGGCCTCCCCTCCTTCCCTTCTCCCACCCCACGGGCAGGGCCCCACCTCCTCCCCTCCCCCCTCCCTTCCCCGGGGGCGTGGTCTCTCTTCCTCTCCCCTTGCCCACCCCAAGAGTGGGACTCCCCCCCATCCCCCCCGGGGGCGCGGCCTCCTCGCCTCCCCCCCCCCCCGGGGGCGGGACCTCCTCCCCCCCCCCCCTCCACCACCCCCGGGGGCGTGGCCTCTCCGCCCTCCGCCCTCACCTGCTCGATGGCGAGCTGCACCTCCGGGGTGAGCTGCAGCACGGCTTCCAGCTCCTCCACAAACTCGAGCTCCTCCTCCTCCATCATCCCGCCCCGGCCTGGCCTTAGCCCCAGGCCCGCGGCGGCGGCGGTGATCCCCGCCCCCCCGCCGCCCCCCGGTTCCCCGCTAGCACCGGCTCGGTCAAGCAACCAGATACTTCCGGAAGCCACGGCACTTCCGGGAGCCGCGGAACTCTGGGATGGTGGAGGACTTTCCCTGGAGCCGAAGCAGAGGGGAGGGGGAGGAGAGAAGAGGAGCTGTGATCACGTGGGCCCCGGAGCTCCGCCCCTCTCCGCCCCCTTCCACTAAGGCTGTTTGTCACGCTGAGCCTGTGGCTTCTAAGGCTTCCTGCTCTAAAGGCAGATCTCCCCTCGCTTTCACCTGGGATTTGGAGCCAGAAAGCATGGGTTCGAATCCCGACCCTATACTTTTTCTGTGCGACCTTGAACCGGTATTTATTTCTCTCTGTAAAATCAAGGGGCCGAATTAGATGGCCCTGGAGTCAGAAAGACTGGAGTTCAAATCCGGCTTCAGTTACTTCTTAGTGGTGTGACCTGGGCAAGTCATTTCACTGCTGTCTGCCTCAGTTTCTGCATCTGTAAAATGGGGATCAGAATAGCCCCTACCTCCCTGGGCTGCACGAACAGTACGAGCAAATGCTCATAGCTCTTTCCACACAGTTTGTGAACTTAATTACCTTCTTAATTACAGTCTGAGAAATGAGGGACTATGGCCAGAAATTCTAAGCTGGTAGTAGATACATGTGCACCGGTAATAATGTGCATTAGGATGTGATAAGTGTGTACCAGTCTGCCTGCAGCGTGTTGGGGTGGATGGAGAAGGAGACAGAGTCAGACACACACGGGCTTTGGAATTCTGGCCAAGTCAGCTTCTCAGTGCCCCAGACCACCTCCTGAGACTGGAAATTGTAGAACAGCCACTCCAATGGATTTGGGATCGCATCCATTCCAGAGTTCCTTCTAAAGGTGCAGCTCGCAACACAGTATCCATGCAACATCGATCCATAAATAAAGAGAAGTCCCCCTCACCCCCACATTGGGTAGATTACCTGTTGTGTCCAACTCTTCATGACCCCATTTGGGGTTTTCTTGGCAAAGATACTGGAGTGGTTTTGCCATTTCCTTCTCATTTTACAGATAAGGAAACTGAGGCAAACAGGGTTGAGTGACTTACCCAAGGTCACACAGCTAGGAAGCATCTGAAGTCACATTTGAACTCAGGTCTTCCTGACTCCAGGCTGGGTGCCCTAGCACCTGTAGCAATCAGGCAATCAACATGCATTGGTTAACTGCCTACTTTGTACCAGGCACTGTGTTACGTACTAGCACCCAAGGCAAAGACAGTACTAAAACAGGCTCTGCCTTCAAGAAGCTTACATTCTATCTAGGGAGGCAGCATGTTCATATAGAAGTATGCATATAATAAATATAGAATAAATATGACGTAGTTTAGGGAGGAGGGCCTGGTCTTGGAAGGTCATCTCATCAGACGAACTCATCTTATAGGTAAGGGAAAGGGACTTACCCAAGGTTACACAGCTAAAAAATAATAGATTCTCTGATTCCAGATGAAAAGACCATAGATCTGATGATGGAAGGGACCTCAGAAGCAATCTCATCCAGCTCCTTCATTTTTCAGATGAGGAAACTGAGTTAAGGGGAGGGAAGTAATTGCCTGATATCAAACAGGTAGTCAGTTTCAGTGGTGGGATTTGAACCCAGATCTTTGGATTCCAGATCCACACACTCTTTCATGCTGCCTATCTAAAAGGAACATTTCTATGGCATTTTAGGATTGATAAAGCACAATGACCTTATAACGTATGTGGTGTGTCATCTCTCCTTTGGACAGATGATGAATGGAGTCTATGAGAGAAGAAATACCTCACTTGGGGTCACGCAGCTAATGAGTCCTGAAGTCAGGGCTCAAACTCCGGCTATCGGTCTTCAAGGCAAGAACTGTCTCCCTAAGGAAGAGTGGAATTCACTATCTGGACTGTTACCAGCCCATGGACTTTTGAATGAGGAAAACCTTTTGTTTCCTTATTATGATGGTTTTTTTCTCCTCTGTCTCTGCTCCCTCAAAATGAGGGTGTCTCTCAGACTATCCACACTGGGTTTTCCTCTAATCATGAATCCTAAGAAGGAATGGTCACTTCCCTTAAAGGTCCCCACATTTCTATCCCCAAGAACCAGCTGGCCAGAATCACATCCAGATTAGAAGTCTCCCTTCTTGCTTCCTCTTAACTTCTAATGCTAATTTTGACTTGAGGAAAAGATCAAAAGAGCCTTCTTAATTAGGCATACTTCCGGTCTTCAAGGATTTGAAGGGTTGTCATGTGAAAGGATGATTAGCCATGTTCCATCTGGCCCCAGAGGGCAGAATCAGGAGCAAGGAATGGAGGTTATAAAGAGACTGACTTCACTTTGATGTCAGGAAAAAAAAAACCAAACAAAAAACCTTTCTATTCATGAGACCTGTCAAAGTTGGAAAGGGCTGTTTTGAAATGTAGCGAGCTCCCCATCACGGGAGGTCTGCTAGCAAAGGCTGGATGGGCACTGGTCAGAACAAGTATGTTGTATCGGGATTTTTTTTTTCCAGATAGAGCTTGGAATGACTGGCCTCTGACGCCCCTTCCAACTCTGAGATTCTGTGACCTGTGGCCCAATGATCTATGGTGCTATCCATTTTTTTTTCCAGATCCGAGAGGATGTGACTGCTTTATAAAGGTGATCTCTCCTCTCCATATCAAGCCTTATCCTTTGAATAGACACGTGACTTTTCCATTTGACAGCTGGCTCACCTGCTAGCGTCCAAAACGGAACTCATTGTCTTTCACCCCAGACTACCCCTCTTCCCCATTATTGCTATGGAGTGCATGACCATCTTCCTAAACTCCCAGGCTCACAGTCTTCCTCAAGTCTCTCCCACCTAGTCCATCCTCCACTCAGAGATGAGACTGATTTCTCTAAAGTTCAGATCTGACCATATCATTCCTCTAGTCAATATACTCTCTGGCATCTCCAGGATCAGCTACAAATGCCTCTGTTTTGGCATTCGGAGCCCTTACGACCTGCCCCTCTCCTACCTTTCTAGTCTCCTCTTACTTCATCCACACTTACTCTGATCCATACTGGCCTCCTTTGCCATTCCTTGCACAAGAGAATCCATCTCCCAAATCTGTACCTCTTTCCCGGCTGTCCGCCACGCCTGGCGTTCTCTCCCTCCTCATCTCCACCTCTCAGCTTCCTTAAAGTCCAGCCTTCTTCAAGAAGCCTCTCCTGGTCCTCCTTACTCATAGTTCTTTCTTTCTGAGATTAATTCCATTCCATCCTCTCTATCTTATTGATACACAGTTGTTTGCATAGCACGTCTCCCCTCTTTAGATTTTAGAAAAACTGGGTTTTTTGCCTTTTTTTTGCATCTCCGGTACTTTGCCCAGTGCCTAGCACGTAGGTATTTAATAAATACTTGATTTGAAGAGACAAGGCAGGAGGCCTTTAAAATAACTTGTAGCCCAATGAATTGTCAAGGTAAGTATTAATAAACTACCTTGTGACGGCCCAAGATACAGAGAATGCTTGACAGAAAAATGAACTCAAAACCCTTTTCAGCTCTTGTTGGCCAGATATCCGCATGAAATCAATCAAGCATGTACTGAATGCCCACTTTGGGTGAAGCTCTGTGCTAGTTTCTGGAAACACAAACAGTTCAATACAGTAATCTCTTCTCACAAGGTGCTTCTGTACTAAGGGGAAAGACAGACAAGAAGGACATGTAGGATTATATGCAGGATACCCATGAAGCAGCTGGGGGCCAGGAAAAGCTTCATGGAGAACTAGTCAGGTTTTGAAGAAATAGAGGGGATTTTATGTTGCAGAAGTGAGGACGGTGTGCATTCTAGGCATGGTCTGGGGGTAGGGAGACACAGAATTGGGAAATGAAGCATTAGATGTGTGTAGTGTGGTCAGAAAGATCATTCGAGGCAAGGCTGTGGGGGCTTGGAAAGCTAAACAGAAGCATTAATATTTTATCCTAGAGGTACTTGGGAGCCATTGGAGTTGATGGAGGGGGGTCACGTGGTCTGATTCGTGTTTAAGGACAATGACTTTGGCAGCTTTCTAAAGGATGACTTGAAGTGAGGGAGAGATGAGGCAGGAAGACCAATCAGGGAACCTTTGCAATGATCCAGGAGAAAGGACCTGAAATAAGGTGGGGGCTGTGGCAGTAGAGAAAGGGAGTATGAGAGAAGTTAGGGAGGTCAAAGTACCAAGATTTAGCAATTGATTGGATGTGGGGAACACCAGAGTGAGGAGGTGAGGTAACAAAACTGGGAGGAATAGGGAAGTTTGGATGTTGAGGGGGGCTGGCTAGTGGGAGAAGAGACAGTGACCTTGCCCTCTGGATTCACTCACCTGTGTGGGAGAATGGAAAACTTGGGAACCTCTTAGCTATTTGATTGAAATTAGATCCTTATATAAAAGAGACTAAATCTGGAGATGAAGCAATGAATGCTCATTTAGGAATTAAAGTTAGGTCTCCAGTAGAGATCCAAACCTAGTATCTGGAAGTTTAAAACAAAAGACAAGCCTTGAGGAGACCAGCTACTTAGTCAGAAGTTCCCTAGCTCTTTATTCTAAAGAGCTTGGGATCTTGGGCCAAGACTTTTCTCTGGAAGATGAGAAGTCTCCTGGTAAGACTGTGAAGGAGTAAGATAATCTGTTCTACAAGGGAACAGAAGAAGAAGAAAGCCATGAAGAGTTTTTTAAGAGTCCCCCGCTCAGTAAGCTCCTGGGGCTCCCTATTACCTCAAGGATCAAATATAAAATCTTCTGCTTAGCTTTCAAAGTCCTTCACAACCTGGCTCCCTCCTACTTTTCCAGGCTCCTTACACTTTAATCTCCTCCACAATCTATAATCCAGCCACACTGGCCTTCAGGCTGTTCCTTCAACATGACATGTCATTGCAAGCAATAAACATTTAGTAAGTGATCAACTTAATGGCCAGAGCCAGCCAATCCATCCATCAATCAATAGTTATTTAA